TTAGCGCTTCCGCTGAGAAACTCACGTACTTCATTTTGAAGTCTATTAATATTTTCAATTTACTTTGAAACTGAAAAAAATTGTTAATGATCCAAATGAATATTAATTAAGCAATGCTTTTAGAGCAAATAAAGGGACCGCGAAGCGAATTTATGCAACCCAATTTAGCTGAAAATTATAATCTTTTATGCTTGCTCAACTAATGCTTTTATTGGGCCATTTGACTTGATTTTGCAACGCGATTTGCAGTGGTTTAATTATCTTCAGTCCCTTCCTCCAAAATAGAAAGTGAAGGGAAAATGAGGTCTATGAGGTTAGGAAGTCTGGGAGGAAATCTCAAAATAACTAAATAGGTCCATTAAAGAGAGGAGGCAAGCAATGGGTTAACTGTGCATTCATACGCGTGTATTTTGCTACTTGCTATGGAAGTCGTTTCTCGAGCTCCATCCTTCATCCCTCCAATCACTTGATAGTCGTGGGAAGAGTAGAACCAAGCAATTTTGTAATTAAGTGGGATAGAGTATAGAGATCAAATTTAAATAAAACGTTGACCTTACTGAGAAATATGAAGGAGAAATGACCACCTACGTTTACGGGCATGCGGGAAAGGAGGTTTGGGGAAGTTTGTGGTGAGACAACTGAAAGAAGGAAACAGTACCGTTTAAGGACACGCGAGTAGAGCATGGAGAGAGTATCATCGGGGAGGACGGGTTGGCTGGTGGTTGAGGCGGTAGCATCGTCTTCGTCCACTTCTAAGCTCGGCGTTCCTCCACTTGCCACCTCGCCACTGCCACGAGGGACACGCTGTTGTGTGCAGACGTAGTGCTCTTCAAGAAAGAGGCTCAGCCAAGCAGTGTGGAATGGCCAGTGCACCAGAAGACATAGCCATGTTGTTGCAACTTCCAATAAAGATGCCCATATTCTCTGGCTCTCGCCCGTCTTTAACATGCGACCTTCAATGCAAAAGTATTGTGCAAAGCACCGTTGAGAGGAAGTCTTCTACACTTTTGTTTGCGCATGTGGACTGTGAATGGCAATAAATGGCCCATTTTTCTGAT